TGGTACTAACGTGACCACCATGGCTTCCGGTGAGACGTTCGAGACTTTCGTGCCGGATGGTACCTGCTTTATAGTTGGGGATAAGGTTAACAAAGATCGCCGTCTCAAACTCAACATTGAGGGCATGTTCGCCAACCCTGACCAACTTGTTCGCTATCTGTGGGCCGCCTCGCGCAGACATCCTACGCGGGCTCACACGGGTACGAAGACCCTCAGGGCCACGTTCACCAGCGAGTACTACAGCGGTGAATTCATGAAGGGTTACTTCCACGGCAAGGGCACGCACGTCTCCGACCTTGCGGCCACGTACGTGGGTGATTTCGTGCTCGGCAAGCGCCACGGCAGCGGCTATATGGAGTACCCGATTGGCGATACCTATGAAGGTGACTGGTCCGAGGGTGTCTGCCATGGTCAGGGTACCTTTGTCGAGCGCAAGACCGGCAACAAGTACGTGGGTGGCTACAAGGACGGCAAGCGCCACGGCAAGGGTATTAGCTACTGGGAAGTGGCGGACGAGGAGATGGATCTGTGTCAGATCTGCTATGGCGACGAGCAGGATGCCCTGTTCTATGACTGTGGACATGTCTGCGCGTGCGTGACGTGTGCTCGCCAAGTGGATCTCTGCCCGATCTGTCGGAAGAGCATCATCAGCGTGGTGAAGATTTACCGGACTTGATTGGTATTGATTTTTGAAATTGCGTTGGGGAATATTCTGAATGGTACAGAATGGAGTGACAAGGTGTTGAATGGTTTAGAAGTTGTGGCTATGGATATATGAAGGGGATGCTTAGATAGCGTGGTGCTTTCCGTTAGATACCTGCCTGCTGCCTGCTTTTCGAATTTTTTGGCTTGATGCATAGCAAAGTTTTGAAAGATAAGATGCTTGTCCATAAACGTGTGAATGAAGATCGTTGCTCAAAACTCTTGCTTTGTCGCTTACAATCCATGCCTTGTCACTTGCAATTCCGCTTGTCTGTAAAAGTACGTTCGAGGCTCAGTAGATCGACCAGTCGGCCTTCTTACCTTTTCTAAACCTTAACATACAACATCTGCCAAAGAACCCAACCCCACTAATCCCCTCCCAACAGCCCCCCTCCCTTATCCAGTCCAACAGTCCAACCCTCATCCACATCCAAGCACCACCCAAACACAAACCCCAGCCCTGCAATCATCCATCCGTATCCCTCCCTCATCTCCAATATTCCCACCAGCCCACCGAGAGCAAAATCCCAACGACAACCAAGTGCACACCATACCAATTCCCGCGCAAACAACCAGCTAAGAACCCCCTGTAACCCATCCACCCCAACTAACTAACTCTTTATCCCCCACCAAACCCCTCCCCCACGGGAAAGAAAATCAACACTTCCGATCCGCACACCACAACCGCTTATACCCACTCCAGCACCCATTCCCGTAAGCCTGGCAGCAGTCCCCGCCGCGGGGCTGCCCCCGCTCCCAGTCGCAAAAGTACTGGGCGGTGCCGAACTCGGTCGTGGCGACGAAGGTGCGGCCCTGCGCGTCCTCGGTGCCCACGTGGTCCGGGCTGGTGCCGCACGCCGGCGCGCTGCCCTCCCAGATGCAGTTGTTGTGGTCGCCGGTGTAGCAGGCTTCTATTCCTTCGATGAAGGAAAGGAGGGGGAGGAGAAGGATTGAGAGGAGGGTGGGGTTCATTTTTTGGGGGTGCGGATGCGGATGAAGAAAATTTTGTGGTTGTGAGATGTTGTATGTGATTTTGGGAGGTGATAAATGGTTGAGCTCAGGTGTGCAGTGCGCAAGAGTGATTGTTATAGGGGTTGGGGTTGGGGTTGGATTTGAGGTCGTGGGATTGGTTGCACAGAGGTATCAGCTCGATGAATGCGGACTGGGTAGGTCCTACATATAGGGTGTCGGGTGTCCTGCTTGAGGGTGAGTTTATAGAAGAAAAGCATAGGGCAAGCCTCAACGTCAAGACTCGCATCTGATTCTAGTTGCATGGATGGTTTTGCTGGGCTGGGAACCAGACTTATTCCGAAGCAAACATGCTTGACGCGGAGACGAGCCACACTCAACTCAGTATCAATGTCGATGATTCATTGACACCATCCACCTACACTCTAACCCTGTCACAAAATACAGTAGTCAACCAGTCTAGCCTTTGCACAAACATAATGGTATCTATTGACGAACTTCAAACCGAAGCTATCTATCCATTTCAAAACACTAACAGAAAACAAAGTATGCGCCACCCATACCAAACACAAGACTAATGCTTTTGTTTCAAACCAGACATAATATATGCAAACCCAACTACCGCCCTCTCTTATTTCTTGGCAGGCTTCTTGGCCTTTCCGCTCTTATTATCGGCCTGCTTCTTCGCGGCGCTCTTCTTCTTGTCGGAGGGAGTAGTTGTAGAGGTGGCGGGAGTGGCAGGGGTGGCAGGGGTGGCCGGGGTGGATTCTTGCGTCTTGGTCTTCTTCGCGGGCTTCTTGGCGGCCGGGGACGAAGTAGACTCATCCTTCTTGGCCTTGGTGTCGGCATCAGCCGCCTTCTTCTTCTCCGTCTTAGGGGAGGCCTCCACGGCGGGCTTCTCGGTTTCGGAATCGCTCTTGGGCTTGGAGGAGGATTTGGCGGGCTTCACGGCCTTCGGGTTGAGACCCTTGCGACGCAGACGGTTGCGCTCCGCGCGGGCAATGCGCTCAGCGTCCTGGTCGTCTTCCTCGAAGGGACCGAACGAACCACCCTCGGTCTCCAGAACCATGCCGTCTTCGTCAACAATCGGGGTCTTGTCGATGCTCTCGTCGTCGGTGGAGGGGGCGGACGGGGACTTGCTGGCCTTGCGGTCGGACTTGGTGGTTGCGGCGGCGGCGGCATCGCCGGGCTTGCCGGTCGGGGACGGGCCGGTCTTCTTGAGCTTGCAGACGAAGAAACCGTCGACGTTCTCACGGTGGGGGAAGTACCGGCGGGTCAAGGTCATCTTGGCGTCGAAGTGCTTGCCCATGTAGCTGGTCATACCGGGGCTACCGAAGTCACCCAGACCAGTGTCGACGAGCTTGACATTGGGGCGCTTGCGCAGAATGTAGTTGACCACCGCCTCGTTCTCCTCCACGGTAACACTACAGGTCGAGTAGACAACGTAGCCTCCCGTCTTGGAGTTGTGGTCGACGGAGTCGATGGCGGCCAGAAGCAGCTGGCGTTGCATATGGGGAATGGCAAGGAAGTCGCGCTCGTTCTTGGAGGTCTTGACGCTGGGATCCTTGGAGATAACGCCGGTACCGGTACAGGGGGCATCAAGAAGGACACGGTCGAAGCCACCCATAGCCTTGGGGAAGGCAGTGCGGGCATCCATGTTGGTCACGATGGTGTTCTTGCAGCCGAGACGGTGGATGTTACCAATCAAACCCTTGGCACGGGGCTTGCTGGCATCATTGGCGATGACGGTGCCGGTGTTGCGCATCAGAGCCGAGATGTAAGTGGTCTTACCACCGGGGGCAGAGGCCATATCAAGAACACGCTCGTTGGGTTGAGGGGCCAGGGCCATGACGGGAAGGAAGGAGGAGGCGGCCTGGAGAATGTAGTGACCGGCCAGGTACTCGGGAGTAGCACCCAGGGGAACGGCAGACTCGAAGACCTGCAGACCGACCTTGGACCACTTTCCGACAGGCTCGAGGACCACACCACGGTTGATCAAGGCCTGGGCCAATGACCGACGGTTGGTGCGCAGGGTGTTCGTACGGATAACAACAGGACGCGGGGTTTCGTTGGCTTCGAAGAAGGCAAACGCCTCCATGGGGGTGAAGAGGTTGAAGAGCTTCTCGGCGAGGTAGGGCGTGTAGCCGTAGTAGGTGCAGATGTCGCCGAGGAGCAGGTTGACGTAGTCGGTTCGCGACTTGCCGGGCTGGCCGAGGGTCTTCAGGTCGCCCAGGATACGGATGGCGTCGGTGATTCTCGTGCGCAGCAGCTGGAGGTCGGGGGCCAGACCGGGCTGGCCCACGTCGTCGGCGAAGACGTCGGGACGGTCGCCCGCGATGTTGGTCTGCATGGCGGATTCCTGCAATTCGAGCTCGGCCTCTTCCTCCTCCTCCTGTCTCGCCATGTCCAACTTCCGGGACAGACCCTCAATGTTGGCAGCCGTCAGCCTCTCCTCCGCGTCGGAAAGGTCTTCATCGTCGGAGAACATGGCTTCGCGGGGGTGGTCGTCGTCCTCGGAGTCGACAACCGAGTCATCATCATCGGAGGCCATCTCGTCATCGCTCACGGCATCGAGGTCGCCGAACTCATCGTCCTGCATCTCCTCATCGTCCAGGTCGGACCACGCATCCTCATCATCCTCCTCCTCCGCCTCGTCGTCCGAATCCATGAAACTCGACTTCTTCGCCGCGGCGGGCTTCTTCTGCTCCTTGCCCTGAGCCTTAGCCTTGGGCTTAGTCTCGACCTTGGTCGCCTTGCCGTTCACAGCACCATTGGCCTTCTTCTTGGCGACGGGCTTGACGGACTCCTCCTCCTCCTCCTCAGCGGGCGCTCTTCTCCGCTTCTTGCCCGACTCGGCGGGCTTGGTCTGGGGTTCAGCGGCCTTGCGCTTTTTGTATATGGTGATCTTGGACTCATCCAGCGGGGCAGGAGGACCCTGCTTCTTCATGCGATTTCCCCGACCCATAGTGAATAAGGACTGTGACAGAAATTCGGGAAAAAAGGGAGGTTTGACAAGTCGGTTCCTGTCTGATCAACTCGGGGGAAAGATCTAAACTTTTTTTTCCTTCCTTCGCCGTACATTTTTTCCCGCGGGCGGTCAGAGCCAGCAGTGCGGTGCGCCCCGCCCACCGCCTTTACTGCTGCCTAAGGCAGAGACGCAATCTGCGGCTGCATCAACAACATCCTCCGATCCCGATCGGGTAATTCCATCCATCGACATCATATTTATCCCCCCCCCCCCCCCCTCTTTTCCCTCTCCCCCAAACCACAAACCAACGCACTACAACCCACACCTCTCCCCAAGGAGACCTAATTCCTTGCTCATCAAAATGGCCTCCGAAATCTCCTTCGCCAAAGCCTTCCTCTCCGCTCTGGACAGCCGACCCATCAAGCTCCGAGCCGACTATGTCCACGACTGCCCCAACGCCCGCATACCAGTACGTCCTCCGCAGCCCGTACACCTTGCCCTCGCTGCCCATACCCCATTCACCTCCTTCCCCCATCCCCCCATACCCCTATACCCCCC